TTCCTACAACAGTGTTTTCCCCCAGGCTTCCATGGCTGGTGCAAACTGGAAAGAGAGGGATTGTTGTCAGATAGACTGTTTATAGTATTCAGGCGCGCACTATGACCTAGCCTTAAGTCTAAAACATCTATTTTCTAATTGCAGTTCCAGTACTGTCACACATCAGTAGTGCTTGTGTAAGCACATTAGATCATTTGTCTTTGAGCCAGATTATACTGTCACCTTCATCATGTCCAGTTAATGGCAAGAAAAAGTACAAAACAAATTGATTTTATTTAATTTTTTGGTCATGGATATGTTAATAACTGCTTATAGTCATTGTTTTGCTCATTTATATTTAGAATTGCTTGCTAAAAAATCTGAACAAACCCCTAAACAAAAATATTTGTTGTGTGTTTTTGTACTCTCTTTGTGCTATGAACATGAATGATACCTCAAATTAAGTGGTTTGTTGAGGAGAGGTGTTATTCATATTTTTTTTTTGAGTGATCAGACTTCCAGTTTTTGACTCCCAGATAATAAAATGTTCAAAAGTTTGGGGTCAGTAAGATTTTTTTTTACGTTTATGAATGAATTCTCCTATGCTCGCTAACACTGCATTTATATGATCAATGTTATAGTAAAAAGAGTAATATAATGAAATATTATTATAATTTAAAATAATTGTCTCTTATTTTAATTCATGTTCTTTACTTTAATACTTTACATTATGTCTATTTTAAAATGTCTAATCTAATTTGCCGATTTGATGCTCAAGAAATAAAACAAAACAAAAAAACTTACTGGCCCTGAAAGTTTTGAATGGTGGTGTACCTAAAATTTAAATGGAATTGAAGAAAAAATATATAATAGGTTTCTCATCTGTCCTGACCCCGTCTGCCATTGTTCAGCCAATCAGGTAATATCACCCCAGACTCACACTAGAACTATCGTATTACACCAATCTGCAGATGGCATTTAATATATATATATTAAAAAATATATGCATCAGCTGTAAAAATGTATTCCTGAAGTAGATGTTAACCCCACCATGGAAAATCTCCAGTTTTGTACAACAGACCTGCCCTTAGAAAGCAAAAATGTGTTTCCTTCATCTTCCTTAATACTCTCCACATGTCCGTACAATTTGCACAAATCTTATATGGTCTATTTTTTCCCTTTTCATTTTATGTTGACTTCTCTGCTGACTTTCTGCAACCCCAGCATTCTTGGTATAATGCAAACTGAGTTTTGTCAGCATCTGACAGTCCCCTCTAGGGACCCTTCAAAGTGAAGAGTCTTGGCTTCTTACACATCAAATTTCAGAGTGAACCTTGAGCATTTCACATACTGTATGGAAGATTCTATGTAGCATTTATAATGTGTTTTTAAATCTCTTATTTTTGGGGGAAAAGCCCAGCTGAGAGCCAAGTGCTTTATCAGGAAAGGTTTCATATCAGGGGAAAAATGTGAAAACTTTGTGCTTTGATGTTATATTTTATCTGCTTGGATTTCCTCATTTTGTTGCATTATGTACAAGTTGATTTCTTTTTAGACCTTGATATCAAATCATAACAAAAAACATAAATCTAAGGGTTTGAATAATTGAGGGAAGAAATCCTTTGGGTTATGTTAGGGTTTCAACAACAGCCTTTGAGCAACCGCATATGACCTTTCTTTGCTAACACAAGGCTTTGTTTTGTTTTTAAAAGCAGCTTTAACGCCTGCAGCAGTAGTGGGTTAGCATTTGAAGTTTTTACCTTCGAAATTAATAAAAAATTCAGCATTGTGAGGAATGATTGATTGAATGCATGAATGGCAGGATTTAAGTCAGAAAGCAGATCCTGTTTTGCCATGTGTGATAGCACAAAATCACATTACGTTTTTCAGCTCGTTCTGAGCACCAGATGTCTCGGTGCAGGTATTATATTCCTCGCAAGCGACTTATCAGACATTTTCAAAGCACAGCACTAGCATAAAAAAGATTTTAAAAAGAAATATCAAAATTAACTTCAAGTTGGCACCCTCATGTAAGCTAGCACTGAGTTAGCGATTTGTTTACATCTTGCTTGCCTTACTGTTAATTTTCCTGTTAATTAACACTTAAACATTTAATTAAAACTAAGAGTTTAAGTGCCTAAGCTTGACCATTGCATATTTCTGAAAGTCTTGCGCATCTTTTTTTATAGAAATACTTCCTTATGTTACAGTTGTATATTACCTGCACTGTAAAAAAAAATAATAATTTTGGCAGCTGTGGTTGCCAGAATAATTTTGTAAAAAATACAGAAAAACTGTAAACACATTTACGGCCAAAAAATGTAAATTGTACAGTATAAAACTGTAATTTACAAACAAGAAAATTTGTAAACCAGTCAATTCAACAATGCACACTGCTATTAAAATCGGTTTTGTACCTTTAACATACTGACAACCACCATAATAATGCAGGTGGTAAAAGAGAAAGCCACACGAAGAATCAAAGCTCATCACAAGTAGCTTCGCCACAAGCAGAAGTATATACTAATATATAGAAGGTGCCATTCATGCAAACACAAAACACCATCATGGTAACACACATGATACTTAAATAATGCATTAAACTTTCATTAAACAGCAGAAAATGTAACATAAAACCGAAATATACGTAACTAATAACAAAAACTATTTAAAAAACATGATTATTTAAACAAAATACTTTCAAATGTGCAGGGTCATGCAGGGAATTCTGGGAATATCAGTTTACAGTTTTTGACTGTAAATTATACATTGATTTGTTATTTTTACTTCTAAAAACTGCATTTTACTGTAAAATTACATGAAATATCTGGTTAGATATTTTACAGTTTTTCCCTGTGTATAGTACGGGAACTTACTGTTAACCTATTAACAGTTTTTTCCGTAGCGTTTTTACAATATTTTACAGTTAAAATTACACTTTTTTTACAGTGTGCATGATGTTAGCTTAGCGCTCAGGGTTCATGGGTGTGAAAACCAATCCGCTCAAGCCCCTTCTGTGTGCAAGATATCTGAAGCCCTCAGCTATGGATCAGATCAAACTGTGATAAATGACCAGGGCTCAGGCAGGAATCCTCCAAGACTGTTTTGTTTAATTAGCTAACGAGTGAGTGGGTTTGATTGGGTTAAGCCGGGGAGATGCTATGTGCCTGTCGATTAAATGCGCTGCTGGGGAGCCAAAAGCCTTGGCCGAGTAGAACATTACAACGTTCTGCAAATGGATTTATCATTGACGGCGCAAATGGAAAGCTCACATGCCAACATGTCTAACCTCAAGAGTGGTTTGGTTGAATAAGATGTACGTATGCGCCACAGAAACATGGAGGAGGCTGGTGACAGGAAATGCACATCGGTTTATTAATGCTTCAGTGCATTGTTCTTCCACAGATGCGGTTAGATGCTTATTAGATTGACAGCTGATTTCTTTATTGCTGTTTTGAGCAGCAATTAGATTTCGACTTATGCAAAGCCATTATAAAAGTACTCCTTTTAGTTTAGAGCCTTTCTCCAATTACAAACATGTACTATTCTAGCAATTTCAAGTAAAGAGACAGTAGTTGAATTATTATCAGAAAGCGCTTCCTCTGAAAGGAAAATTTCCTTTGTTTTGATTCATGTATGGATAATAGAGAAATGTTGGGTTCACCTTGCTCTTTTCGTGGCTCATACTTGACGGTGGAACTTGGAGAATGACAGGCATTGTGGGTAATTGAATCAGCAAAAGGCAAAACAATTGTAACTCCTGGAGGTCAGGTTTGAAAGTGTTTTTCTGTGCTAGTAGAGGAACCAACCACTGACAGATGTGACATTAAGTGTATGCTGACATTTCGTGGAGAGGAACGGCCAATGAGGATGCTACATCTTCAAAGTCTGGTCAACAGCACTCCTCTCAGAGTTGAGACTGTTTTATTTCTTTGTCTGATATAGGATATGACTGCATTACTATTTCCAGCTTGAGATAGAATAAGAATGAATCCAAAAAAATAAAATAAAAATGAATGAATGAATATATATGTAAACAAACAAACAATATTTTTCTTAAAGAAAATGAAACCTAATTTGGTTTCTAATATTACTTTCAGGACAATTAAGCACATTTTCAACTATTTAAAAAAATCAGTTAAATTCAAATAAATTATCTTAAATTATAAATCTTAATGAAAATCATTATTTCTGAAAAAAAAATATTTTTAATTGCAATGAACTAAAAACAACAGACCTAGAATAAATATGAATGTGATTTATACTTACATTTTAAGTATGTTCTATACTTTAAATTTATTTTACAATTTACAGTTTGTGTCATATTACTGTGATGTGAATCATATGTACTGTTCACATTATAGTGGGCTACTAAGAATTGGATTGTCATGAAAATAATGTCAGTAGTCCTAAAAATAGGCTTCATATTATTTGGACGGAACAAGGACATTTCTTGACAGTTTTTGTGAGATTCGCCCAATTAAGATAGTTGGACATTTTAGGACATTTCCATTCGTCTGTTGTCCTTTCCACACCTTTACGTTAAGATATATTTGTTGTTGTCATCAAAAACTCTCTACTTTAATGAAATGCCATGTGATTAGCTCGTTACGTGTCGCCTGATTATCCATTAACTGACCAATGTCAATGAATAGCACTCTGGATTTTTAAACATTGGTTACATACGACCACTCTCCCACTTGACTAGAGGCCAACTAATCACAGGGCACTGGTTATCCTTTCTGTCATTAATTTTCACCCCCTAAGCCACACAACCCTCCTCAGGCTGATTAATTTTCACCCTAGCATGTAGCCCCAATGCTAATTTAGTAACTCTAGGGAGGCGCAAGATTCATGAGCAGAGCCCACATATGCCATTTAGGCTCTGCTGAGAGAGGAAATGTCACCGTGTACTCTAGTTATGTTTATGCAAATGTAGTTTCCGGGCAGTAGAGTGACCTCTTTCTACTCATGTGTGATGTTGACGGTCTTTTCTCCATCTTTCCTTTTTCCTCTAACAGCTTTGACGTTCTCCTGGATTTTTAATGAGTACCCGTCATTCGTGAAGCAAGATTCTCGTCGATTCGTGTCCCAGGAGACAGGGAATCTATACATCGCTAAAGTTGAGCCATCTGATGTGGGCAACTACACCTGTGTTGTGACCAATACTGTCACCAAGACACGCGTCCAAGGGCCGCCTACTCCTCTGATACTGCGCAATGACGGTGAGGATGCTTGTCGGTATCTCGATATATACCATACATTCAATCCTACATGCATTATGGAATTGTGTAACTAAAAGAAATAAAAAGATGTGAAATTTATAAAGAATACAAATTTTATTCAAAGGTTAATAAGCTGTTTCTCTGCAAATTTTAAGATGCTGTGGCAGCATGTTTCAGTGCCTCTAGGCTGGCATTATCAAAGGCCCTCAAACTGAAAGGTCATTTGTCTTAGGCTGATCTAATTGTTGCTTCTCTGTGGATTTACAATTTGATCGCACTCATGTACAAGGGTGATAAAAATAAATCGTCAAATATCCTAACAGACAAACGGAATCTAATTTATCTGACTGATAGCGTAAAATAAACTTCTTTCAAACCACTCGGTATTTTCTATGAGAGGTAATGGTTTTTCGGTGATTGATTTTAAAGAAAAAAGTATTTTTCGTTTTTGTAATTAAACAACCATTCTAGTTTTAAAGAGTGAATTACTGTATGATAGACATAAATAATTGTCTTTAATTAAGCAATAATCCTAATAATATTCTTATTTATTTTAATAGTTAATTATTTTTGCCTTTCCTCCACCTAGACTTTATATAAATTTTTACATGATTATCTAAAAAGTAGCTTTAATTGGTGTCATTAAAAAAACATATTTGAGAATTTTAAGGAATACATTTTCACAATAGGCGTTAATTAACTGCTGACAAATGTATTGCTTTAGTTAGTTCAGTGTTTATTCTTGTTTTCTTCTCCAGGATATGTGATAAATATATTAGTAAAAGTTTCATTTTTTAGGTTTTTGTAGTCAAAACTTCCCTCAATCATATTATTGCCTTTTTACCAAAATGTTAAAGTGTATTTAAATGGACCACAAAACCAGTCATAAGGGTACATTTCTTTTAATTTGAGATTTATACATCACCTGGAAGCTGAATAAATAAGTTTTGCATTGATGTATGGATTGTTAGGATAGGAGACAATATTTGGCCTAGATACAACTATTTGAACATCTAGAATCGACTTAAGATTGGTTTTGTGGTCCAGGGTCACATATAACATTTTTGTAAATATACCATTCAAAAGTTTGGGGTCAGCAAGTTTTTAAAGAGAGAAATTAATACATTTATTAAGCAGTGATGCATTAAATTAATCAAAAGAAACAATAAAGACTTCTACACTATTCTACAAAATTGACGTTTACAATTAAATGCTGTTCTATTGAACTTTCTTTTCATTAAAATATCAGAATCAGAATGAGCTTTATTGCCAGGTATGTTTACACATACAAGGAATTTGTTTTAGTGACAGAAGCTCCACAGTGCAACAGAATGACAGTGACAAGAAAGGACACAGATAATAAAAAGATTAAAATACAAATATACAATAGTCAATGTACAAAATAGAAATAACACAATATACAAAATAGACAATTTTGTATGTACAGGTATGTTATGTGCAAATTTGAAATGTAAATAAGGATATGAAAAAAATGTATCACGGTTTCCAAAAAATATTAAGCAGAACAGCAATTTTAAACATTGATAATGTTTTTGAGCACCAAATCAGCATACTAGAATGATTTCTGAAGGGCACTGACGATACTGAAATAGAAAATTTTTTATTGTAATAATATCTCCCAATATTACTGTTTTTACTATATTTGTCTCTCAAAAGCAATGTATATTCAGTACAGTATATGTACATATATACCACAATTCAAACAAGACACCAGTTGGACCTCAAAAAGGAAACTATAGTTGTATATTTATTTATTTTCCATTTTTAAGGTCCACCTGACTAAGATGCAACCGATGCCTTGTCTGAATTATGTTGTAAAACATATTGTGTGTGTTGGATTGGTCCAGACGCTACAGTGTTTTTTCAATGTATGCTTCAGATACGAGTCACGACGAGGCGTTCCCCATAGCGACCCCTAGAGGACGCAGTTCGAAGTTCCCATGAAAGGGAACCTGATGTTTCTATCGGTGGTGTATGACCAACATGAGCCGCTCAATGGCTACTGTCACAGTGTGATCTCCAGGCACAATTTCAAACCCCATTGTACATGTCTCTCTACCTGGGATGCTACAGAAGGAGATGATTGCCTCTCTCCAACCCTTCCCATTTGGCAGCGCTGACATAAACGGCCAGCGTTAGACATTGCAGATAAGCATCTCTTTGAGTCCCTCAGACAGCTTAGTCGCTAGTCCGATAGCACACCTCACAAAAACACAGAGGGAGATATCAGGGCTCCCTGCTATCCCAAAAGCCTTTCAGAAGCTACAAAATAAATCATGCAATAATAATGAAAGGGAAAATAAAAGATTGGCTGCTTTTGCAATTGCAGTTTCAGATGGAGTAATTGATACCTTTTTGCTTGTCGATTGAGTGTTTCTTTTTTTTATAGGTGTAATGGGAGAATATGAGCCAAAGATTGAAGTGCAGTTTCCAGAGATTGTTCAAGTGGCCAAAGGTTCAACCGTGCGCCTGGAGTGTTTTGCACTGGGGAAGTAAGTATTACGAAGATGTCCTCAGTAGAAAGAGAATGTAATCAGTCTTTGAATTACGTTTTGTATTTGTGTTTGCAACTTAGTCCAGTACCGTCCATAAGTTGGCATCGCGTGGACGGAGTCCCATTCGCCCGTAAAGTGGATGTAAGGAAAACCAGCGGTGTGATGGAAATCCCTTACTTCCAGCAAGAAGACGCGGGCACGTATGAATGTGTGGCGGAGAACACCAAAGGAAGAAACTCTGTGCAGGGAAAGCTGTCTTTCTTTGGTAAGTTATCTTGAGATGCATGAATATTTGAACAGCGAAGGCCACATGTCACGTTCATTGAAGTGAAGGACATGATGCAGGACTCTGCCTTTCCAGTCGTCAACCCTGACCAGCAGAAAATCAACTTTAACAGTGCATCAAAATGATTCAAGCCACCCAGTCGTGATGTCTCTAATATTTTTATCCAGATTAAAAAGATGAGAGGGTGACCTTGAGCCTGACCTTCTGTTTGTGTATGTGTGTGTTCCGTTCTACCAGATGGCACTGTGATTGGGATCCAATTTGACTCCAGATCAAAGCTGTTAAATTTACTTTACTTAGAGTATACTACACATATGCCAGGAAAACACTCAGCAGAGCAGCATATGGATCTGTGATGACTTCTGATTTTTTTGTGTTTATCAAAAAATATTTGTTGATTTTAAAGCATATTTGGAGACTTTGGACCCAACTGAAGATGTTCAGAAATAAAGGCTTAGTGGAGATTGCTTGTTTGTGTTATGGTCATGAATGATACTTGAAATAGTAAGGCTTATTAGGAGAAGCTAAGGAATAGGATTTATAGTTTTCACCTGACGCATGATAAATGCCATAGGCTTGCATTAACGACAGGATTCAAGGCTCTTTGGACCTAAACAACTAACTAGCCTAGCAACTTGTAAGGTCATTCAAAACAGTTCATAGCAAAAGCAGTGTTAGAGTTAGTAATATAAAATATTTTCTGTGAATGAGTTCAACATTTAATTTAATTTAATTGTCTGTTGTCCTGTTCAAATTTTTGGCTCAACAATTTTTCAAAAATCGTATTAACAAAATACAAATTAAATACTATTCTTCTTGTGTTCATTTAGTGAAAAATAGTATGGGAAATATGCCATAACTTTTAACAAGATTTTTATATATTTACATATTTTAATGTATATATATTAACATGTTGTTTACTGTTCAAAAGTTTGGAGTCACAATTTTTTTTGTAACATTGTACTGTATATGTATTTACTGTCACTTGTAATCAAGTTAATACATCCTTGCTGAAAAAAATATGAATTTCTTTAAAAAAAAAATCTTACTGACCACAAATTTTTGAACAGTAATGTATATAGAATAAATCAAGTTATTCTGTCCTGATGGAAGTCTGTTAGGTAAAATAGTAAAATAATATACCTGTCACAGCTATGTATTCTTCCAATCAGTGGGAGAAAAAAAAACTTGCTAAAAAGACATTGAAGATTAAAACATGGAAATCCCATTTATATTCTATTAATTGCATGTGCACCTTATCATGTGCATATATCTGTTTACCAGTGCAAATTGGCATGAATTGTAAAAATCAGACCCCAATGGCTAGGCCTGGGTCTCTAGCAAGTGTATTGTGACTCAGAGGCTTATGAAGAATAGCATATTAAATATGGACTTTAAAATGAAGGGTTCATAACCTTTTCCCTTCACCGCCATGTTTGCTCCGCGGCATTGTTCATACAAGACAGCTACCAATTAAGTAAGTACCTGTAGGCTAGAGAGCAGTGGGATTTATCCTCCCCTTATGGGATCTTGCACTGGCTCTAATGCTGTACCCGCATGCCCAGTGGCCCATTTACAGGAATAGTCTGCAAGGAGCTCGCTGAATGTTTTATTAGCCCTGTTGTCTCATTGTTTATATTCCAAACAATGTGGAATATGGGGGACAGGTTCTTAGAAAAGGGAAGTTCTCCTAATGGGCTTCCCAGATGCGCAACGTAGCAGTGATTTATAAATGTATTAATTAGATAAATAGCTTGGGCATATTGTAAAAGCTAATGTAATCCAGCTAAGGAGGGGATTCGTCGTAGGCGTGGTTGTTTCACTAATGCTTTTGCTCCATTCTGTTTAGGAGAGACTTGATATTTATGATAATTCGTCTCGGTTTTCGCTTCGCTTCTGCTGTTCTTCAATCGTTTCCACCCCCGTCTCACCTCTCCTCTCCTCCTGTGTATAAGTCAACTGCAGTATAAGGAGAAGGAGACAGACCTTTAGCATCTGGTTAAGCTGGATTGCCCGTGGTTATTGAATAAGACAAAGGTTTATGCAGAGAAACAACTCACACTAAACTGGCATTGATCTCATCAACAAAATCATTGATGAAAATGGTTTATGAAAAGATTTTTGATTTTGTCAATGATAACAGAGACAAAATGTGCATAATAAAAAGGTCATTTTTAAATTATTTTAATGTGATCATTAAATTATTTTAATTAAGTGTTGAAAATACAGCATCGCAGGATATTAACAATGCACTAACAATTGCTTGATAGAGAAGAACATGGACAGTTTTTGTTAATATTGATACATTTTAAAAATAACATACAGTACTGTTTGAAAGTTTGGGGTCGGTAAGATTGTTTTTAAAGAAATTTATACTTTGATTCAGCAAGGACATAAAAAATTTACAAAAAGTTACAGGAAAGACTTTTAGATTGTTGCAAAAAAAAATCTAATAAAATCAATCAATTTGAATTTGATATTCATTAAAGAATTCTGAAAAAAACACATAACCGTTTCCACAAAAAGTTAAACAGTTAAACAATTTTAACATTGCTAGAAATGATTAATGAGATGAGAAATATTACTTGAGCACCATTTCAGCATATTGTAATGATTTCTGAAGGATAGTGTAAATTGTATAATGTGTTCAAATAGAAAATAATTTTTTTTAAATTGAAAAAATATTTCACATAATCACTCTTTTTCGTGTATTTTTGATCAAATAAATGTAGATTTTGAGTATTCTTTCAAAAATATAATTTTAGAAAAAAATATGACATGGCAAAGTATTGACAATTTAATGGATATTTTTATTAAAAAACAAAAACCATGACTCAAAGTGTAAAATTGAAATTAAGGTTTCAGTGTGATTTGAAGCCAAAGAAATTGTGTTGATGGTTTGACAGATGTAATTGAACGTTTCTGAGACTGTGGTCTTTCCCCATTCAAGTCGATAGGACTGCATGCCTATTAACTACATCAGATATCAGCTAAAATTTCCACAAGTGAACTGACTTGCCTAAAAATGAGCTGACTTTGGCCACATTCATCCACCAGTTATCACTTATTCTATGCTTTAAGCTATTTGTAATTATTTACAACACACCTTAAAGCCACAGCAGGCCTGTAAAAAAGCAGCGACGGGTTGACGTTTATCCTTTTTGCGGCTCTGGGATCCTTCAATGGCAGGATTAGCCTACGGACAGACCTCTTGATTTACCACTCAGATCTCTCGCTCCCTTCCCCTCTATTTCTGTCTCTGTGTCTCATTCTCTTCCCCAACGTTTTTCCCTTTGCCAGCCAGGTGATAAAAATCTGTAATCTTATTTTGAAGTCCCATGGAATTAGGCCTACGAGACATTTGTCAGCAGAGCGGGGGAATGAGGCGATCAATAAGTGTATCTCATGTTTATCACTTCCACTGGCAGCAGCAAAGCAGGAGGAGACACTCAAAGCCTTTCATTCTTTCTGCTTGCGTTGGCTTGATTAGCAATTGCCCTCAAATGTTTTTGTTGCCTTCATTAGTCCTATTCTTTGCTAGGCTAAGAAGATTGTGTACCTCTTAACAGGTACACATATAAAGAGACGTTTTGTGTGTATTAATCATTCAAGGGGTCACTTCATAAATTTTAGCATTTGTTTTTCCCGCGTATTTTGTTAGTCTGTGTTTTTATGCATCACAACAGTCATTTAATTTTGCTTGACCATTTTTCACCCCATAGCTAATCCTTAAAATTAATTGATTGTGCTGCTGTACATTTAAAGAAATTGTTCACCTAACATAAAAATTCAAAAACCAAACAAAAGGTGGATTTGGGAAGAATATCCTAGCCATATACTGAAAGGGGAATGAGTCTGTCAAGTGCAAAAATGACATAAAGTCTTACCAGACTAGAAAATGTAAGGAAAGTTTGGTTTTTCATGATATGAACATTTTAAAGAGACATAACAAATGGTTTGAATGTAGTATTTCCCAAAATGGTTCTTACATCCAGAGTTTCCCTACACAGAAAAACAGATGTTCTTCCATACATTATGATTGCTAGGGACACAGAAAATCGATCATAATCACAGTATGCCACTGAATAAGCGTTCAGTTGGTATTAAGGATGCTGAGAGCTAATTTTGACCTCTCTACCTCTCATTCCTCTCAAGTTTTACTTGGGGTGTGAAATGTTGAGAGTGACTGTGTGCCCTGCGGGCAAGGCTAAGTCAGGCCCTGACTGCTTACTCTCATTTAAACAGTGGGGTTTAAAAGTCAATACTCTTCCAGTGAGTGCGAGATAGACTGAGTGGCAGTGACTAAGGGATCCAGGCAGCACTATTGGATGGTTGACAGTTTGTGACTTAAATGTGACTCAAACCTCAAAACAACAATTGTTTTGTTGTCACTCTTTACAATGCAATTAGTGCCTAAATGATTGAGGCTTTTCAAGCTTCAAAATGATGCAAAAGCACCATAAAAGCAGTATTGTAACCAAATGTTCATGATTTGGTGGGACCAAATGTTAAAGTGTCAGTGGAGGCTGCTTAAGATGTATTCCAAATCTTCTGGAGTCATACAATGGTTTTAATAGCAATAAAGAGACTAAACTGTAAGCTGTTTAACGATAATCATCCTGTTGAGTAACTTGTGAACCACATAAGCTCAGCTCGTGAATGAATCATTTAAATTGTTTTTGCGAACAAATGATTCATTGATTAGATTTGACTCAAAAGAAGAACATCACTACTTCCCATTTCCATTTCCAATGGAAAACAGTCATCAGATAAACTTTACACTTGTTTTTATATATTTTATTGTTTGTTTGTTTGTATGCATTCCACCCATTCTTATCTCTCTTTTAGTGTCCTTTTAGGGAAAATGCTCATATATGATTCTTTCATTCTAAATGTGCTCTTAGTCAATTATTTACTAGGTTTGAGTTACATGCATTTAAAAGATAAAGATCAATACAGTTTGTTTATAATTAAGCCATCATTTACCCTAATGGTATCGGTTAAGGTAGTTTATGGTACTAGCTTTTAGACAATACTAATATATTAGATGTGATTTCCTTTCTGTACCCATCTAAGGGGACGTGCGAGTCAGTTGGACCTGACTGCTGTTTTCTTATGTGCCATTATTGTGATTACATCACACCATTTCCCACAGTTCATGGCTCTAATAATGCAAGTCCGCTTTGAAGGACACATAACAGGTAATAATCAAGGTTAAAGTAATTCTGTGTAGTCATTACCTCTGTTGTTGGTTGTTTCAGCCTCCCCCCAGCTAATTGAGAAGCCTCAGGATGTGCAGAAGGCCATCGATGACTCTCTGTTGTGGGAATGCAAGGCCACAGGAAAACCTAAACCCTCTTACAGGTGGATGAAGAATGGAGAGAACCTGGAGCCCACTGAGGTCAGTTCACCTCTAAGGTTTGAGGACGGTCAACAGACTTTTGTAATAAAAGTAAAAATATAAAAAATTACAGTTCACCCAAAAATGCAAATTCAGTCACCATTTGACTTGCTTTCTTCTGTGGAACACACAAAAATAGATCTTAAAAGGATCTTTGTCATGTATGTTTATTTGGACCCCACTGACCTTCATTGTATGGCCAAAAACAGTTGAAACATATCATATTCTTTTTTGTTCTACAGAAAAAATAAAATCATAAAGGTTTGGAGTAAATGGTAAACCTACATTTTTGCATGAATTATCCTTTTAAATATTGTATTTCAAAATACAGGTTTAGTAAAAAAAAATATACAGATTATATCTGAAGAAAGTTAAGAAACTTGTTATTTATTGTCTGGTTTTTATGTTATATCAGTAATTTAGTTGCAGTCATCACAGTAGATCTGCCAGCCATCTTTATTTACCTTGTGAGACCACTGCTTGAGAGCGTATTCCTTAATGGCTTTTCTATAACCGTCTAAATCAGAGTGAATCCACTGGAGTACCTGATATGTCATTCTGCGGACTCTCTAATAGTTCCCCAAAAATGCAATAAACTCAAGATGGCAATAGCTAGCAGAAAGCACTACCAATACTCTCTAACAACACATTTTAAAGATTGAACCAACACATTTTAATTTCATACCTCTTCCTTTTTTGTGACTTTGTCAAAGTTATTCTTTAGATGTGATTTTTGCAGCTCGGTTTACTTCCATTGTGTGACTTTTCAGGATGTTTAATGTGGAAAAAAGAGCTTGATTTTTATCCATCAGGAATTTATTGGAATATCGAAAATTGGCACTTCGGGACTTTGCGGTTCAGTTTTTGAGGGCTACACCTCTCCTGAAACACTGACTGCACAAAACTTCAGCAGCCTTTGTGAGGACAAATGAAAAGTCATTTGATGTGGAGCAAGACAAGACATTTTGATGAAACGCAGCCATTTTTTTCTTTGGAATAACATGCTGTTATGAATTATGCACAATAAGACCAGTAAAGTGCATTAAGTAAGTAAACAGGACAGTTTTGATTTCATGTCGGCTTTAAATAAGGTGCAGAGAGGAGCATGCTAATTACAGCTCTTCTAATCATCATTACTGCTCATCATTACATAAACATAATTACTGGTTTACCACCTACAAACATCACCAAACAACACAAGCTCAGAATATGAAGGACATTTAAAAAGTCCTTAAATAAAGTAAAATACATTTAATGAACATTAAGGCTTGATTTAATACATTCATAGCCGTGGACACAAGATGCAAGACACTTAGCAATCTCCCATTAAATCCTCAGATTTAAAACAGCAGAATTTGAAGTTTCCTTGAAGGCCATTAGGAGAAGGCTTATAAACCTTTACTGTGTACCAGACAGGCTCTTATTGTTTTGTCTTTCTCTGAAATCCATTTAAACTATAGTGAAAGAGGTGATAAACATTTATATGTCTCGACACTCTATTTAATATACAACCTGTCTCCACTGAGAGCATTTCACCCAGAATTCCAAACTCTAAGCGCATGAAGTTATTTTTAGAGACTAGTAGCTTTTCAGCGCAACTATGGTGTGGTGAATAAACAAATCAGTAAGCTTCATGTAAATTAGCCTTGCTATGCGATGCGGGTGCAAACAAAACAAAAGATATTGATCCATTTAGAGACTGTTTATGTGTTCAGAGACATGGCCACTTGTCTTTCTTCATCTGTCACTCATTCTTTTTCATCTTTCACACCATCGGATGAGAATATCTATCAGCGCTGCATAATTAGCAGTCTGTCCATTTTATTGTTTTGCACTTTATTAGAGAACGGTTCCAATAGAATACACCACAATCAGAAAAAAAGTTAATTTATATGCTTTGGACCTCAGGAAATAATTGCTAATGCAGATTTTGCTGGTTATAGGCTCCACGTTCGTTGAGTGAATTTGTATTTGAAATACCGAATTTGCATAATGATCAATGTTTTACAGGTATGTTTGTGTGCCAAGGTAATTGCCGAAAGGTACACTTGAATTTTAAATGCAATGAAATCTCTTTATTTTGCATTTATGGTTGTAAAAATGATTTGAAAGATCTTGCGCCTTTCTGGAAGCACGTCTCTTTGAGCATTGAACAAATACCACACGGTTTGTGTTATGACAGACTAATGTCTCAAGGGCACAACAATCTCTTGATTGAATCATAGCCCTAGCTTACATTTTGATTCTGAAATGTTGATTTTCAATGTATCCCGGTTAAATTAATTAATCAGTTCAGAATTATTACAATCTCCAAATGTCACCGTCAACATCAGAGCTTTAATCAATTGTATAACTAAAGGTCATTGATGTAGCAAAAGCATGGGTTGTTGACTTATACCATTTGTTATTTTCACTGTGCTTAATCAATGGGAGACCTTTCGTGTTCTTTCTGCCTTATTGGAACGCAGCATTGCTAAGGTGACCAGCTAAAAACCGCTTCTTTGTAAATCACTGTGACGCTCCAGTCACTGAGAAAAAGGGATATGATGTAAGGCACACACCAGGAAGCACGTCTCTTTGAGCATTGAACAAATACCACACGGTTTGTGTTATGACAGACTAATGTCTCAAGGGCACAACAATCTCTTGATTGAATCATAGCCCTAGCTTACATTTTGATTCTGAAATGTTGATTTTCAATGTATCCCGGTTAAATGAATTAATCAGTTCAGAATTATTACAATCTCCAAATGTCACCGTCAACATCAGAGCTTTAATCAATTGTATAACTAAAGGTCATTGATGTAGCAAAAGCATGGGTTGTTGACTTATACCATTTGTTATTTTCACTGTGCTTAATCAATGGGGGACCTTTCGTGTTCTTTCTGCCTTATTGGAACGCAGCATTGCTAAGGTGACCAGCTAAAAACCGCTTCTTTGTAAATCACTGTGACGCTCCAGTCGCTGAGAAAAGGGATATGATGTAAGGCACACACCGTGTCTTGGCTAATCTAGTAATAAACGTGTCAATGATCTTGTTCACCCGTATCATTGTGCTTGTTTGATACCAGCTCGTACTGCTTATGCCGAACATAGCTTATATTTGTAGTAGTTTGATTTAAAATGTACCACATAATATAAAACGGAGTGTTTACAACAGCTACAAACTGGTAATGAGGCCTTACATGTACGGTGTTTTGAACGAAAGGAGACATTATCGTCTTTTCAAAGGCACAGATTTAAATCAAGACTTAGGAAATGAAAACGTCCATGCAGCCGTGCACACGCACTTCATATCAGGATGAGATTTGCCGCAACTGTAGTCATGCATTGCGTTTTATGTCCTGACCCGACGGATTTCAAGCAGTGACATTGCCAATCACGGCATTTTAGCGCAGGCGTGCAGATGGTCCCCTCCCTCAGGTCCCGCCACGTGCAAAACTGCTGATTTAAGAGGAACGTCACGGTTAATTAGTACAGTAGTAAAGTGAAGCATCGCCTCACTCCGAACTGCTATATGCCACTATGTGATTTTTTGTGCAGGCTTTTTTGTCCCATATTGTGCATTCGTCCCTTTCTTCTCCTTTCCATTTTAATGTACACCGACACAAATCTCATTCAAGCGCAGATTATCCTGATGACCGTCTGCTGTTGTATATGCCGTGACTACAGTAAAGACGTTATTGACGTTATAGGATATTAAAAAAATATTACTTAAAAAATTAGCTCCCTTTAAAAATGAAAGTTGTGCCAAGTTGTGTACAAGGAGGTACATTAGGGCAGTGGTTCCCAACCCTGGTCCTGGAGGCACCCCAACACTGCACATTTTGCATGTCTCCTTTCTCTGACACACCAATTTCAGGTCTTGGGGTCTCTACTAATGAGCTGATGACTGAATCAGGTGTGTTTGATTAAGGAGATATGCAAAACGTGCAGTGTTGGGGTGCCTCCAGGACCAGGGTTGGGAACCACTAGGTTCATTAGGATAAACAGAAAAAAATGACATCAAAACAAAAATAAACCAAAACATTTACATATATGAACACATTTTACAAATATTGGTTTTAGGCATTGCTGAACTCTTCTGACTTCAAAATTAATTTCCGTCATAATAAATATTTACTAGACATTAAATCATTCGTTCAACCGGTTCATTCAAACCGGTTGAAAATTTTCAAAATTTGGCTTCATTATTTGGAGTTGTTTTCATTGGCAGAGCAAAAACAGACAACAAGTTACTCAATATTAACTTGTTTATTGAGCTATTATATTAAAGAAATACCACAATCATAATTGTGCTGTTGCTCTGAATGTCAACACGGCTGTGATGACGGGGTTTTTTTCCCGTTTTTGTGTGAACTATTCCTTGCATACGAAGAATAAAGTTAAAGGGCAAAATGTGAGGACAGAATACACTTTAGAGTGTTCTGCCACTTTTCATGCCAATTTTTAATATGAACCTGTCTTTTTATGAGCCTTTAAAATGTTGTTTATGCCTGCTGGAAGGAAACATTAGGTGGAAACTAAATGCTCTCAAGGTTACTGAGGCTGAAGGTTTATATATTTATTTATAAATACAGTATATATATATACACCTTTGATTGTAGCGTCCTGGTGTTTTTAAGATGTCTTTGGCATTTTAAAACCTGTTTCCCTATTTTATGTTGTTTTATACACCATATTCATCAAATAAGTTTGGTTAACATCAGAAGACATGCAAACTACATTGGATCACATATTAGAAATAGTATAAAGCTGTCAGCTTTAAAATATTAACCCAGCTTGTTTATAATGGCAAACATCATCCAGCCTCCCAACGGCTTGTCCGCGGAATACAGAGGCTTGAGCCCCTGTTAAGAAATAAACAAGCCAGGGCTTTATTTCCATCTCATAAACATACAGATTTATTGCCGTCGTTTTTGAGCAGCCTCCCAACGCAGTGTCTCCCATTAGTAATGAACACTCAGATTTATGATCGTTTCCATCAACCTCCAGACATAATTTACCTTCCCAGACACGTTGTGCTTTTATGCAGATTAGCAATCTCAGTAAAAGACTCTTAACGGAGATATCCTGTTTTCCACAGGAGAGGGTGCAGGTCATTAATGGCGCCCTGTCCATCACTCGCCTGGCGCTCTCCGATATTGGAATGTACCAGTGCGTGGCTGGAAACAAGTATGGAGAAGTGTACTCCAATGCTGAACTCAGAGTTATCGGTAAGTGAAACCTGATTAATTGCGTTTGACTGAAATATTAGTGTGGTTTGTAAATTTGCAAAGCACAAAATAATGACTGCATTTATATACTGTAGCTTACACTCTTTATCTCAACTGCATGCTCCTGATAATAGCCACTTATGAGTCATATAATGTAATTAGATGTGTAATATTGTTCATGACATGCACACATAGGCATTTTGTTCTTATTTGGAGGCAAATTTCTGTCAAGGAGATTTTTGTTGCTTAAAATTTAGTGATTGGTCCAAACAGGCTTTCGAAACTCCCCCATCTACCATTGGTCAGATAAACTAAAAGCCCCGCCCCATACTCACACCATTGGTTAAGCCAAGTTGCCAGGTTGGACAAATGATATTCTTCTCCTGTCACAAACAGAATACCAAAATAAAATACTTTAACAGAATATCCTTCACTACTTATTTTATGACCAACACCAAAACAGTCAGTGTAACATGATTACTGGATGAGTTGCTCTTACGAGTCAGTGTAGTCTGATTCCTGAATGAGTGATTCATATGAGATAGTACTTTTTTAAGTGAATCAAAAACACACAGCTCAACCAGTATAGTATGATTTCCAAACGAATTAGTGAATCAATCAGCTTACCAACAGCTGCTGATTGGTTGTTCATATGACAGTGTAAATAAAGATACCCATTATACATTTTATCAGTGGTATTTTATAAAAATAAATTTAAGATGTTATTACATGTTTTTGTTATTTTAGTATTGTTGTCTAGTTATTGGATTGCATTTATGCTGCAACGTCGAAAGTCTGTGTAAACACATTTTCAAAGCTTTATTTTAATGTATTCATTATTGAAATATCAGTAGGCAGTGTAATAATTACATTTTCTGTTTCCAAATATATATTCCTTAAAAGTACTAAAAAATAATCGTTGAACCTCTACCAGCTCATGCTATTGTTTGAGCCAGGAGCTGACATGTTGGGCTTCTCAAACACAGAAATGCTTTGGAAGCTCTGCAGTGTTTGCATTTACTCAGGAAGTCAACCTACAAATGTCTTACTGCAAAAGGTTTCTGCACGTTAAATTGGGATTGCGATTGTCATGGCCAGTAACATTACACTGCAGAGCTGTGTTAACTTGCCGTCTACTTCCACATTCTATTCACCCACGACTTTCTTTGTTTATTGTTTTGCCATTAAAATTCAACCGCCAAAGTGGCCAAGAAACTGAACTCACAGGAGAATAATTGTCAGTCCCTTACACAGATAAAATAATTGAAGTGCCTTTTAAAAGACAGAGTGTGAAGATTGTAAAGCCGGAGAAATTATCATAATAAAAACTCATTTGAGTGGGAAACGTGGAAAAAAAGAGGAAAGGACATGACATTTTCCCTTTGTTTTTCTTGGCAGAGATAAGGAGCGTATGATAATTAAAGTGTGCCACATACGCTGAGCCTCTGCTCTGCCATCTCTGTTTCTACATCATTCGTACCCGCGTACACATGTCTTCCTTTGAAGTGCAGTGATTAGAGTGGATGTGCTCTAAATAGTCCTTAATCCTCGTGTCTGCGTACCTGAAATCATGGTCAAATATGAAGGAAAAAATTGGCCTGATGCACGATGGTCTTCGGTTGTTAAATACTATTGTTGTTAAATATTTCAACAGTTCTTTGTGTGTCCTTTATTTATCAGTACAATAAGATATAGGACGGAAAATAATGGGGATAAGAGCGGGGAAATGAAAAAATCACAAACCGGATTCAAGCTGGATGAGCACCACAAAGCAAACCACTATGCCACAACTCTGATGTTTTCAGCCTATACTATTTGCACAGCAACATCAATAGTTATCAAAGTGTTTTTAAATTTAACTCAGATTGACATAATTACAAGCACCATTTACATTTTTCTGTGACACTGATTCATGACAATCAATCAGTGCTGGTTTCTATGGAAGCTTATTTACGGGATAGATTTTTAAAAAATTGGCAATTTTCATATCACAATTCTGACTTTTTTCAATTTTGAGTTTATATCGCTCTATTCTGACTTTTCTTAACAGGTCCGTGAGGTAAAGACTCAACAATCAAGTTCGTGTTTTTTTTTCAAAGATGTAAACTCGCAATTCTGAGAAAAGTCAGAATTGTGAGCTCATATCTCTGAAAAAGGTCAGAATTGAGATTTAATCTCAGTATTGCGAGCAAAAGGTTAGAATTGCAAGTTTATATCTCTGAAAAAAGGTAATAAATGTGAGACTCAGAATTGTGAGTTTATATCTGAAAAAAGTCAGAATTATGAGATATAAACTCATAATTGTAAGAAAAATGTCAGAATTGTGAGATAAAGTCAATATTACCTTTTCATGTTTTTTTGTTGTTTTAGTTTTTATGGTTTGTTTTGTTTTTTCTATAGCAGAAATAACCTTCCATAGGTTTCCTTTTGAAAGAAAGTTATGGTCAGATTTTTTTTTCAAATGTTTCATTAAATTTTTTTAAGATAAAGACTGTACATTTTAAATGTTTATATCTCCTAAAAGGGAATTTTGTTATGCCGCTTTACATGCAATTTTACTTGTTTTGATCCCAAAACATTCCTTTATTTGTATGTAATTAAAAATAGTTGCATGAGACAGAGTTTCAGCTGTTATTTTTTTCTGTGCTTTCTGTTGACGTATGGTCTTAATAAAATCTAAAACTTGTCTTTCGTTTCAGCTGTCGCTCCTGATTTCTCCCAAACCCAGCTGAAGAGCCACACTTTAGTCAAAGAAGGCGGCGATGTTCTCATTGAATGCAAACCCAAGATGTCTCCTCGAGGCACGATCTCCTGGCGCAAAGGCAACGACGCCCTCCGAGAAAACAGCAGGTAACTCCCTTATCCCACTCAGATGCCATTAGTCATATCTGCTGATGCTTTCCTCTATTTCAGGCTTTTTACGTAATGCTACAAAACCAGAGCTTTTCCAGTCTGATGCAGGAACAGTCAAACAGGACTGTGGGATGATGAGCCCACAATACTGTGCTTGTGCTCCAGATCTGGTTTTTGATATAATGTCTTTGTCAAATCATTTCTGTTATTCACAGCAACAAAGCACTGCCACTGCCTTTGGCCATTCATCTCTGCCTGTGGAATCCCACTACAGCAGCCAGAGAAAAAGCATGTCTCAGCATGTCTCTGCTAAGGGTCGCATCAATATATCTCTAGTGGGCTTTGTGTTTCAGTTTCAACTGCTCTTTTCTCTTTCTTTCTTTCATTCTATTTTACTATCACTTTCTGTTATTTGCTCACTCCCCTAAACACAAGAGCCTCATAGTGGGCTATTTTCTGCAGATGTGTATTGCGGATCTCTAACGTGTGCCCTGTTATTAAAAGTACTTGCTTAAAATATTCTTAATATACTGTGAAATATTATATGCATATACAAATATTGTTTTTATATGCATATAATGCAAATTATCTCATTTATTTTATTACTTACACTAACGTTTAAAAGTTTGGAGTCAGTAAGATATGTTTTTTTGACAGAAATCAATACTTTTATTCAGCAGTTTTATTAACTTTTATTAAGTTGATCAAAAGAGACAGTAAAGACATATATATATTACAAAAGATGTTTATTTTTAATAAATGTTGTTCTTTTGAACTTTCTGTTCATTGAAGTCACTGTTTCCAAAAGAAACACAACTATAACAATAAGACAGCACCAAATCAGCATATTAGAATTATCTCTGAAGGATCATGTGACACTGAAAACTAGAGTAATGATGCTGAAAATTCAGCTTTGCCGTCACAGGAATAAATTACTTTAAAAACAATAATAATAATAAAATAGAAAATAATAATATTTGTAGTAATATTTACAATATGATTGTTTTTGCTGTATTTTTGATCAAATAAAGGCAGTCTTGGCAAGCATATGAGACTTCTTTCAGAAACATGAAAACATCTTACCAGCCCAAATTTTGAATGGTAGTGCACTTCATACCCAGAGAGCATTGTATTCATATTAAACCAGTCTAAAACCAACCTAAAGTGGTTTATAGTGGTTCATCTGGTCTCCTAGTCTGGATCAGTTCATGTTTAGTTGTTTTGACAGGCTAACCAGTTGGTTTCCCAGCTTGTGGCCAAGTGGCCAAAACCTAAAACTAGCAACCAGACCAGTCTTTTCAGCAGGGCTATGATGTCCTAAAAAGACATTTATTTCTAATTAGAAACTGACTACATTGGCATATTTGCATGCAGTGTATGTTTGCACCTAAATATATTTTGTCTAAAAGATTCACATTTCACATAGAAACCAATGAGCACACTCAATTATTCAAATGGAGCCTGATGTTCTTATTAACAGCTCCAGTATGGATCACGCAGTCAGTCATAACCGGACTCTGCAGGTTTATCAGGTGACCATTGGTGTCCCCTCCCGAGCAAAGGCAGGGTGTTAATCAACTTCTCTGCACTCTTAGTAGGAGGTCAGCGTCCCTGCCAGACCAGCCGTTATCAACAAGCATATGTCCCCGTCTCAGCTATAGAGTGGCAGCCAGACACAGCTTGATACAAGTGCAGTATGTCACCGACCCGGAGCGTTTGCGTCTGACCACACTGGGATAGGCAAAGTTCAGCGCGTCTGTGTGTGTTTGTGTATGCATCTGTCAGTGTGTGCACACCACGGTTGCCCATCGTTTACATATACAAAGTTGGTGTTGGTGCTCATCAAACAGAGTGGCGGGCCGTTTGCATAAGAGTTACGCTGCCAATGTCCTTGAGCTGTCCTGTGTGAGAGGACAACAAAGCTGACGAATTCTTGACATCTGCACCTTGAAGAGTCACGGCAGGAAATTGATTTGCCATGTGACGTCTTTCTTCTTTTCACTTTGTTTTGCACCTCATCCTTATTCTTTTAAACACTATATTCAGGCGTTTTATTCACAAACAGATTTGAATATAGAGAATACGTGTTGCCTAGTTTGTTATGGGTTAATTTTAGGAAATCTTGTGCACTGCTTATGATTTTAGAGAAGATAAAGTGGCCTCAAAAAGTATTTGCCACTTAAAGTGACACTTAAGAATATCTGAATGTGATTGCATTCAATTACAAAAAATATATAAATAAGTTGTGTGTTTTTTTTTTTAAGAAGGATAGAGCATGCATCCTTTTAAAGCAAAAAATTTCGCAAAAAAATAAATTTGTTAGATTTTAAATGATAAAACAAATGCATTTGGATATTTAATGGCTGTCATGCTTAATTGCTGGTCTCTGGCTACATAAATCCACTAAAAGTTATCAGAAAGAATTAAGTTAGCCTGATATTTTGTTGTCTAATGCAATGCAATTTAGACATTTTAAGTGTGGCCTAAGTGTCCAAATACTTTTTGGGTCCGCTCTATCTTAACCTTATTATGGAAGACTTTTATTGTCCTGCCTGGCACGAAAACATCATAAACCCTACCACTTCAGATAATAGTATTTGCTGTGCTTTATTTGCTATAAATATTGTGTTAGGCAGTGCTTGTTTTCTTTTGAGGAACCAAGTGTTCCGTGGTTAGAAAGATTGCTAAGAGCCTTATTTGAATTATAAGGAGCCATTTAAGAGCCAAATGGGTGTTTTTGTGTTGCATTTTGACTCCAAAGAATTGTCTTTAAAAAACAGACATCATACATATCTTACAAGTTATTTAAATAATAAATATTGCCACTCTGCCTATGGGGGGGGGGGGGGAATAAGACAGTGACTAAGTATTTATTAATGGAAAATCAGAACATTATTTTTTAATGCCGTTTGGGCCCTCTCTGTGGTTTAGAACAAAATACTGCTCTTTTTCGCTTTTGATAGGGAATGGATTTCCACATAGACCTCCTCACCTATCTTTGACACACAGGTAATTAAAAAGAAAAATGGATAAATCACAAGTTTGCACGTACATGTCCCAGGTTGTATTGTGGCCAGCGAGGTCTGGTCAGAATGTTTGATTGCATCGTCAATAGATGGAAGCCAGCCAGGGAACTTTGTGCAGAATTGAATGTATTTCTGGAAAATGCTGACTTTCTTTCAAGCTCCTTTGGACACCTACGCACACTTATGAGCGCACACTTTTAAACTGATATTCATTACAGTTACTTGTTATAAAAACTGCATAAGCTTCATTATGTACAACAAAGTGTATCACTTCCTGTGAAAGTGAGAAAGTACTTTCTCTAATCACTTTAGTGTTCTAATAGCAACTATATATATATA